CTCAAGAAAGGTCACCACTCCTGCCTCCCTGCTATAGCGTAGCAGGCCCTTCTCTGGGTTCAGCAGGGAGAGATGCCCACTAATTCATTAGCCCCATATGCTATGTGGCTCCTATTCTATAAGACCAGGTTCAAGATTCCTATCTTTACCCTATAAACAATGTGCCACCAGTGGGAAGGCATGTGCCCGGTTTCTCTGGGCTCTCTAAGGTCTGTCCTAAGAGTCCCCATAATTATGTTACCAATTTGCTAAAGGGCCATGAAGCAATGAAGTTTTGGTTATATTTTCCCGATGTTGGTTTTTACTAAAATACACATAATGGGCTCTGCATTGTGAACTGGGGTATGGGATGCTTTCTTGGATTGGTATGAGGTAGAATTTGAGTGTTTCCTCAAATTTCCTGGAAAGGCCAACTGCAAACAACTTTCATTTTCTTGGAGTTCACCTGATAGGAGGTTTGATATTCTCCAGCATGTGTGAAGATAAATGTAACTATTATAGGACAGACACAAACATTTAATCGTGTTGATATGCACAGTGTGTGTGTGTGTGTCCGTGTGCATACACGTGTGGATTTGGAGCCATGTGGAAACAAGAAGGTGTAGAAGTAACCGTCTATTCAATAAGAAACACAGAGCCAATACAGAGATGAAAGCCAAGAGGTCAGAGCAATAGCTAAGAGCTAAAAACCTTACCCTTCACTGTCGCGGTAGTCCTACCTCTCCGCAAGAGACCTACTTCCTGTGTGTCTATCTTTATAAAGATTTTCTGGTCTGCCTTCTCATTGGTTCTAAACCCAACCACATGACCGCCTTATCACTGCCTGTCTGTACAGACCTCCAGGTCTTCTATGGTTGGTATTGAGATTAAAGGCGTGTGTCTCCAATGCTGGCTGTATCCTTGAACACACAGAGATCTACCTAGCTCTGCCTACCAAGTGCTGGGATTAAAGGCGTGCACCACCACCGCCCGGCTTTCACTATGGCTTGCTAATAGCTCTGACCCCCGGGCTACTTTATTTATTAACATACAAATAAAACCACATTTCAGTACAAATAAAATATCACCATAAGAAGGCAAGTAAGTGCCTTCCTCAACTCACTGTATTTTTAGAGACAGGATCGCTGACCGAATCTGGAGCTCATTGATTTGACTAGACCCCAAGATTTGTCACTACACCTCCCAGGTTCTAGGATTATAGGCATGATCCTCTGTACCTGGATTTTTGTTTAGATGGGCCTAGGGGATTAAGCAGGTCCTCATGCTTGTATGGTAGGTGGTTTACTCACTGAGACTTCTCACCAGCCCTACATGCCAATTTCTGATGCTTCTTGATTCTGTGTTCTTTCCCATCAGCATCTGTGGGGACATGAGATTTCCCTAAAATCAGTATTCCCGCTGAGAGACCCAAGGCTGTATGGACTCTGTGTACAGTCACCATGAGCATAGTCTACCATCAGGCTCCATGTTTCCACATGGCTCTGCTGGCTTTCTCCCAGTCAAGCAAGACAGAAATGCACCCAGAAAGGATCAACTCTCCTCCTACACACAAACCACATCAAAGGGGGTGGCATGAGGATGGCTACTTGGTTCCCAGTACTGTTATGCGAACACGCTTAAGTCAGTGGTTCTCAACCTGTGGGTCATGACCCCCTTGACATACCTCTGTCTCCAAACAATATTTACATTACAGTTCATAACAGTATCAAAATTGCAGTTATGAGATAGCCAGGAAAATAATTTTATGGTTGGGGGTCACCATAACATGAGGAACTGTATGAAAGGGTCACAGCTGTCGGAAAGTTGAGGACCACTGCTCTAAGTGCTCTTCCAAGGTGGACCTGCCACTTCTCCTGTGAGTGTGCGCAAGTAGTATTTGTGTCCTTGATAAATAAACTACAAAGCTATTAAGGGCATAATGAAAAGAAGACTCTAAATGGACTGTGGCCTCCAAGGATGGATAAATGTGCTCCAGTCCAGTCTGCTCAAACTTGGCAAGACCCATGCTGACCATTGTAAACCAAGCTGAGAGCCAGGAGGCAGTGTGATTTGCCTGTACACATGTGTTCCTACACTTGACCTCAGAGCACAAGAGTCATGTAGAAAGACAGAGCGATTGGTTCCTCTGGGGTCCTCAGCCTCATCACTGTTGACATTTGGAATGAAGAAGTCCCCATGGTGGGGTGGATCTTAACACCCAGGGTATTCAGAAGTATCAGTAGGCTATATCTGAGAGATGCCAGAGCACCCCATCTCTACCCTCAAAAGCGTCACCAGACTCTCCCAAGGTCGCCTGATGGAAAGGAATGACAGGCACACCACAGCTGTGCACATACGTTCTTCCAACACGGAGGGGTGAGAGACCTATCGGGAAAGCTCCATGAGGACAGGGCCTTGTTTGCTTGCACCTTGACCAAGTAAGTACTTCTGGGCCTTCCCTGACCCACATGAAGTGAGCTGGCGACAGGGCAGTGACCCTGCCTCTCAGATAGATCTGCTGAACCCAGATCCCACTCAAGTTCACAAGTGAGAGATGGGGCAAAATTAGAAACTGTGGTAGCTGGAAGATGTGTCCTGTGCCCTTGTATGTGCATGAAAGGTGGAGCCTGGCCTAGTCCCCACGTGTCCTACTAGCTGGGCCAGTCCCTCTCTGACAGGTCACTACACTCCTGCCGCTGCCTTCTAACTCACCTTAAATCTGATCAGAGACCAGAGCCCCGGCGAGGCACACCGATGTCAGAGCGGTTCTAGAGCCTCGTGTCTGAGGCTTCCGAAGAGGGCTCTCAGAGTCCAGCAGCTAGCCCCAGCTTGTTTCTGCTCCAACCCCTGACAAATGCTGGAGTCCTCGTCCCAGAAACTGCCAGTGACCGAGCCCCGTGAATCCATGTGGAAGAGCCCAGCTCACCCAAGTCTCTTCTTATGTGTGCTTGAGTGGGGTGACCTCCCTTTTCAGACTGACCTCTGAAGCGGGACCCTATCACACAGGGTTTCACCATTGCCCTTTCTATACCTTCTCTACTCTCCTAGACCACGCACACACATATTACCCTGTGGAGACTCAGAGAGGCCAAAGGCCAGGCCCACCAGCAGTGTGTTTCCAGCCGCCGCCAGCCTCTCTAGCCTAATCGGCTTGCTAGCTGGACTTTGCATTTTTGTGGTGTTTTTCCCGTGTCCCCCCAAATGTGTTCTGAATGAGCTTTAAAATGTTGAGGTTACTGCCTTTTACCTTCATTATCTGAGAAGCACAAACCAATTCTCAAAATTTTTATAGACAAAAAAAAAAAAAACACCTTTCAAGGCATGTGGCTTTTCTCTGTGTCCCACATTGAAAGCACAGCATTTCTATTTTAGAATTAAGCTCTGGGATTCCTGTGGTCTTCTGCTTGGTGACTTTGGCTGTACTGTGAAGTTATTGGATCTTCAGCAAATCTGGGCTGTAATTATGTTCCACCCATGGGGCATAGAGGAAACCAAGGTCAGTGTTTCCAAGACTAAAGAGAGCCCAGACCCCAAATATGGTCACCAATAAAGGAGGGAATGAATGGGGGTGTTGGTCTTTGGAGGAGGGACTCAGGAAAGGCCTGTGGAGATAGCATTGTCAGAGGCAGAGTTGAGACGGGAAAAAGCAAAGGAAACATTCTAAGGAGAAGGAGTAGAGTGAGAAGAACATGGGTGGGACAGGGAGCTCCCAGAGCTGGTTGGGGAGGATGTGGGACAGGGCAGTGGTTCAAAAGCCCGGACATCCCATCCATCACAGGACCCTGGTCACTCACGTGGACCCCAGACTCTGCGACCAGAGAAATGAGGCACAAAAGAGACACCACACAGATGTCTCCATCTGTCACACTTCAGAACCAATTTAGTGTGAGGCGAGGGAGAGCTGGGATTCCAAGAGACATCCAGAAAATCTCCAAGCGGGATGCCATCCCACGGGGTGAATCACAGGCAGGAAATGGTACTGCAGACAATAACATGGGCTTTCCAGTTTGGGAACCTGGGGCCAAGGGAGTGGAGCGTGAGGAGTGTGAGCCTTGGGGTATTTATGAAAGGTAGCCCTGGGCAATGTCCGCATGGGTGGAGCAGGAATCTTACCATGTACGTATCTGAATCTGAAAATGGTATCGAGAATGTTTTCAGTGTTTAATAACTCTCCTTAAGGGATGATGAATCCCTGTGAGCAAAAGATCTTTGGAGAAAAGAAAAAGAAAAGGGACTTCAGGTGTTTCCTCTGGGGCAGACAAAGCTCAGGGTGATCTGTGGCACGCATCTCTCTACCAGTTTCTATCCTGACTCTTCCCACAGTACTCTTTTAAAAAACATCCCCACTCATCAACTTGAACACGCTGCCGTGATAAGCTCACTACACTTCATTTGTCAGTGTTAAGTAACAACTACTCATTATAAAGATCTTTCTAGACTGTACAATCAGAAGAGAGAAGACGGCAGATGTTGTCACTCAGCTGTTGGACTGACACGGGTTTCTCACACCAGTGATTCCCTGCGTGTGTATTGCATTTTTGTCTCTGATGTGGGGCCTCACCTAGTGTGGTAAAAGGGGGTTTTAGCACAACACCATGACCTCTGTGAAGTTAGTGGTGTAGAGTTGTTCTGTCTTGCACAGACACAGACACACGCGCACACACATACACATACACACCCGTTTCTAACTGGTGTTGCTGGATACTTAGGTGCTTTTATAATTTTTTTCTACCATTATATATATATATATATATATATATATATATACATATATATACATATATATATATATATATATATATATATACATATATATACATATATATATATATATATATATATATATATATATATCCATACAGGTATCTTTAAGCACAATAGGATCTTGCCTATTTTGCCTGATTTTCTAAGGCCAGATGTCCAGAAGCAGACTAACCGGGCTGTAAGGAGTGCGCATGTCAGAGCTGTAGACCAGCTCCATGGAGGAATTCAACTGACTGAGTTTTTCTTTTCTCCTGCAGCTGTCTCCTACACAAATTATAAGAAGACACCTCCCCCGGTGCCCCGAGGACCACTTCCAAGCCTCTGATTTCAGTGACGGCCCAGAGCAGCACAGAATCCACACAGGATGCCTACCAGGACAGCCGTGCCCAGAGGATGTCCCCATGGCCCCAAGATAGCCGTGGCCTCTACAACTCCATGGACAGCCTGGACAGCAACAAGGCCTTGAATCTGGCTCTGGAAACAGCTGCAGCTCAGCGCCATGCCGCTGACACGCAGAGCAGCTCCACGAGGGCCAGCGATAAGACGATCCTGGTGTCCAAGGCTGAAGAGCTCCTTAAAAGTCGCTGTTCCTCCATCGGGGTCCAGGTAGTCTCCCCCTGACCACCCTCTCTAACACCGGCGTAGGCTGAGTCAAAATTCAAGTCACAGCCCCAAGTCTGGCCCCTTAACAGAAGCAGGATAGTAAATGCTGAGAGGCCACATATGCCTGCTACAGCATGAGAGAGCCCAGAGCACAGTCCACTGCCCCCATACCTAGTGTGGCCCTCAGGGCTGACAGCTAGGTAGAGGATTTGGATAGATTATCCAGATGCCTGTAAAGGGGGTGAGGGTATCCTGTCACAGTGATTTGTTGAAAACATTTCAGTTTTCAGTCCTCAAGGAGTGTTGAGAATAATGAAGCAAACAGATCCAAGTGCTATGGGGTGAGGGAAGGATGTGCCCAACTGGGGCAGCGTGTGGCTGGGCCCTTTCTCACACAGCCATCTGCCCCAGAGACCTCTACATATAAGAGCAACAACACCCTGTTATTTCAGACCTTGCAAGGTTGCCCCACAGTCCCCTTAGGCCTAGCAACCTGGCTGGCCCTGCTACTCTTCCACTGACTCAGGGAGCCTGGCTTGGGTGTAGGGAAGCATTAATTAATACAGAATAGGAGGGATCCTGCCTCCCGAGTGGTCTCAGGTGACCTCCTCCATCCAAGCCCTCGGGGACATGGGTGCTCAGGCCAAGCGTTGCTGTCGGAATTTGCCCCTTGCTTTTTGCACCTCCGCTCAGCCTGTGTCTGGCAGGTTTTAAAGTCATAACGATTAATTCTAAACACACACACATACATCCCACAAGGAGGAGGTGCACAGAGCTGGAAGTAACGGCCCCATACAGGACTTGGGGGAACAGGCAGAAACCAGGGGGGGTGTCAGCCCACTGGCCTGGGTCCTTGAGCCAGGTCTCCACACTGTGGCTTCATTGTTTTGTTTAGGATTCTGAATTCCCTGATCATCAACCCTACCCAAGGTCAGATGTAAGTATCCAACATCTCCAAATCCAAGTTCGCATGAAGTTGTTTTTGTTCTCTCTTCTTTGGATTCTTCCTATGACTGCTCTTGTCACCTCTCTGTCCTGGCTCTATGTGCCAGGCACTTTGCTGGGTGCTTTACACAGTTGCACAGAACCCTCACCAAGCCTTAGGAATAACTCAGCCCCAACCCCAGGTAAACACACAACTTAAAAGCCTGAGGGGTCCTAGAAACGGGGAAAGTGCGGGACATTCGCCGTTTCTCTCTCTCTCTCTAGGCACATTTGTAGTAAAGAGCCAGAGTTCTCCAGATACACCAGGACATAGTCACTACCAGGTCTTCTAACTCTCCCTGGTGTTCTTTGCCACGGTTGTCCATCTGTGGCCCTCCCTAGGACTGAGGAGAAAGTCTCACCCCTGAGAAGCTAAAAGGAGCTTATAAAGATGGATCGTCACGTTCCAAAGGGACACAACACTTCCTGGTGCTCCTCCTAGCTGGGCCTGCACCTGGACTCACACACAGTGTCTCCTCCTTCACGGCTGGACCCCACATACCTCTGGCCAAGTCTGTGCCTCTGTGAATGTTTCCAGGCACTGCCCTCCCTCGTTGTGTTCTGTGGAGGCTGGGCCCATGCCTCCTGTCTCTTGGTACCCCAGCACCCAGCACAGTGCCTGGCTCATAGCCAGCTCTCAGTTCATGTTGGGTATGGAGTGGATGGCTGTATTGGTGGTGAATGCTTCGTGGGGATACACGTGAACGCCATGACACCAGGTGGTAAACTCACTCAACTTCCTTTCTCAGTGGAGAAAGAAGAAAAAAAAAATCACATGAACCTGGAACGTCACAGGTGTCTAAATAAAATCCGTTGAAAAGCTAACCTCAAAATGTAGTGGGAGAAACATAAATGTCAGGGTAACAAGGAGATGTGGCCAGGTCCCTGCTTCACCAGTAAGAGTGAAGACTCGGAGGAGTAGCCTTTCAAAGAAATGAAAGACCATTCATAGGCATCCAGGTACTGGAGACAAGCCAATGCTTGGAGCGTATGAAGCGGACATAAACAAGAAGCTTGTGTCCTGTCCCTGCCCCCGCCTCTCTGCCATGTCCTCACTTAATCCTCTCTAGTAACCCTGTGGACCAGGTGTCATTATTCCCAACCAATGGAGAGGAAACAGTTGACCAGGGAGGGTTAGTGTCTTGCCTAAGAGTGCATGGCTGTGAGTGCCACCATGATGGATGAAGCCCCGGAAGTGGCCTCCCACGGCCCTGACAGAGCTATGCTGCCCAGAGACTAGAAACTAAACTGGGAAGTAATTCTGTGTCAGAGGAGCCTGCCTTCACATCCCTCATGTACCCTGCTGGGATTATCCAACCTGCCTGACCCAGGAACAGCCTTTCTCTGTCCTTGGCTTATAGAGAAGGGCCGTCAACATGGTGTCCAGCTCTGAAGGACACTGCTTCCTGCCTGGCCCAGACCCCTGCCCAGTTACCCAGTGTCTTAGGGTTTTATTGCTGTGAAGGGACACCATGACCATGGCAATTCTTATAAAGAAAACATTCATTGGAGGTGGCTCCATTACAGTTTCAGAGGTTCAGCCCATTGCCATCATGGTGGGGAGCATGGTGGCATGCAGGCAGACGTGGTGCTGGAACTGAGAGTCCTGCATCTTGACTCAGGGCAACAGGAAGTCGACTGACTGTCACACTCAGTGAAGCTTGAGGAAAGAAACCTCAAAGCCCGCCTTCATGGTGACACACTTCCTCCAACAAGGCCACACCTCCTAATAGTGCCACTCCCTTTGGGGGCCATGTTCTTTAAAACCACCATACCCAGAGCCTTCCTTCTCTGGGGGAACTTGGGCAGAGCCTGTGAATGCACACAGCATACAGTTGGTAAACGTTGCCCTCTCTGATGAACATGATGAACCATTGGCTCCTGGAGTAACCACTCCTAGTCTACAGGTATCATGTGACCCTGTATAGTCAAAACTAAGATCCGGGGGCCTGGAGAGATGGCTCAATGGTTAGGAGCATGTACTGTTCTTGTAGAAGATAGGAACATGTCAGACAACTCACAGCAGCCTAGAGCAGCTCCAAGAGATCCAGCGCCTCTGGCCTCCACAGGCACTGCACTCATACACACATGCACAAACCGACACAAACATACACAGAATTAAAAATAAAGGAACACTGTTTAAAAACTAGGGTCCAGGATCTAAATGGAGCCTGCTGGGCTCTGTACAGTGTGGTTCCTGTAGTGCTCTTTCCGTGGCCACGTCCCTCACCCTATCTTCCCTTTCTGCCCAGCTTAGAGTAAACATGCACTCCACACCCCCTGTTCCTTAGATGGTTGGACCCTACACGGTGAACTCAGCCTTAGGAACACGTGGTCGGTTCTTCAGAGCTCTAGACTTTAAACCAGATCTGGAGCTGACCTTTCCAGCCCTGGGGTGAGAAGAAGAGGCTGCGTCCTCTGGAGTGTCTTCACAGGTCATCAGACCTGGAGCTATCTGTCATCTGGCTCCCTCACTCTTCACCACGAAGGGCCTATTTAACCCTTTCCTTTTTGTCTGGTTTGGTTTTCAGTTTTATCAGTGTATGGAGTGTCTGTTGTGGAAAGGTCTTCATCTTGTGTGGGTGTGCGTACTTGTGAAACTGCCTCGGGAGAAAGCAGGAAGTCATTGTTCCCATGGCCTAGGCATATCTCTGCCATGGGAACAATCACCACAAGGTCCTTCCCGAGCTGCCACAATGAGCAGCATCGCCGGAAGCCTTTGGGACAATTCCTGTGTGTGTGTGGGTGGGGGGGCGGGGAGGGTCCTACTGAGATGACTATCCCTATACTGTACTCAGCACCTGGCACGCGTGCTCACATGCACGCACGCACGCACGCATGCACGCTTCCATTGTTGTTATGTTGGAACCCCCAAGCTCCTCCGTAAGCCATCCTGTTTAGCTCCCGGACTTTAGAATGGACCCCTGAAGGAAACATGAGTTTAATCTCAAAAGCAATACCTCTGCCTTGCTTCGAGGAAGGCTTACAAGATAGAGCCCAAAGAGCTTGTTTAGAGAGCACAGATTCCAGATGGAAGCTCTGGTGTGCTCTGGGCTTCCACCTCAGGATCCAGCAGCAGTTCAGGCTGAGACTGCTTTGCTACAGTTTGGTGCCAAACCTGGTCTGGTGTGAGAGAAAACATGGGCATAGGAAAGAATGCCTTAGGCTTACGCCTGTCACTTTTCCTCTTGGGCCTGCAGACACCCATAGTGTGTGCATACATGCACATACTCAGAGACACGTGTAGACCGTCTCCATCAAATTCCTTGTTTCTCAAGCAGATCATATCCACAGATGCCATGCTCACCCTAGCCTCATGGCTCCCCGCTCACTGCTTCCCTCTGTATATAGCCCTGCAAGAACTACGAGTAGCCATTCCTAGGAGTATAAGGGCACCTCTCAGTCACCTCAGAATTACTTGTTTATGTGGTGTTCTTCACTGTTAATTGGGGAACTCCCACCCCCAATACAGCTCCTGCCTCCAGCCTCACTCAGAAGGGCTTTATTGATTCGTCTTTCTTTGGGTTCGTTCTCCGTCCTAGGGGGAACCTTCTCGACATGGATATATGCAGATATTTTGCACCATGTTTTCAATTTATCCACACTGGTGAGCAAGTTTCCTCAGGAAGCTCTTTGGTGTTTCTTCGCTGTGATCATAGCAGCTCTCTCCTTCCCCTGCCTTTCTCCTCTCGGGGCGGCAGATGTTGGCAGATGTTGAGTTCCTTTTGGGTGCATGTTGTCCTGACCCTTCAGCCTTTGCCTTCTACCAAGGATAGCTTCATTTTTTTTTTTTTAGAATCATTTCATATGACAACTTCTAAAAACATGGCAAGACTCATCCAATGGGCATCCCTTTAACCTCATGTGCATGTGACTCTCCTGGGGGTCCTTGGTGGCCCTGAGAAGTCATAGAGTTTGCATCTGACCAATCTCCCTGACTGGTCTTTGTCCCGGGAGGTATTGGATAGTTCCACGTTTTTAAACAAAGAAGCAAAAATCCAACAGAACCGAAGAGAGTTTCCTAATAGTTATACCACTAGCTTTAAGCAGAACTGAAGGTGTCCAGAAGCTCTGCCTTTCTAGGTCACCCTAAAAGTGACTTGCATTAGAAGGAAAAATTGGAAGGCTTGAGGAGTCTTGTTCTTTTTGTTTGTTTGTAAGATTTATTTATTATGTACAGTGTTCTGTCTGCACATATCCCTGCAGGCCAGAAGAGGGCACCAGATCTCATTACAGATGGTTGTGAGCCACCATGTGGTTGCTGGGAATTATTGAACTCAGGACCTTTGGAAGAGCAAGCAGTACTCTTAACCTCTGAGCCATCTCTCCAGCCCCTTGTTTGTTTTGTTTTTTTAAGACAGGGTTTCTCTGTGTTGACCAGGCTGGCCTTGAATTCAGAAATCTGCCTGCCTCTGCCTCTGGAGTGCTGGGATTAAAGATGTGTGCCACCACCACCTGGCTATTATTCTTTAATCACTATGTAGGATATATCTCTTTGTGTGTGCATGTCTGTCTGTCTGTCTGTCTCTCTCTCTCTCTCTCTCTCTCTCTCTCTGTGTGTGTGTGTGTGTGTGTGTGTGTGTGTATACATATGTCTCCTAATACTGTGGCCAGTGATGCCTGCCAATCCATACACTTTAGTCTAACTCCATCAAAAGCATTTTTTATATTTTTAACTTTACAACCATCATTTAAATAATTGCAGGACATCCATCATCATGACTAAATAATGATTTACTGAAGAGTCCTTTTGTGGCCTCTGTTTTCCTATATTTCCCCTTACAAATAATACTGCAATGAAGACCTCACATGGGTCAGAATGTATCGCCATCTCTTTCAGCTGCATTCTCAGGAGTGAAGTAAATTAGACAACTATTTTCAATATTTTTATGATAAAAATGTATGCTGTTTCCACTTCAAAAATCTGAGAGGACTCATGCTAATTCATGTCACTCACATTATTCATCTCTCAAATTTGGCAATATAAGTCCAGACGTGGAGGTGCATGCCTATAAGCCAGAACTTGGGAGACTGAGACAAGAGAATCTTAAATTTGAGGCCAGGTTGGGTGATGTAGTAAGACCATGTCTCAAAAAAATAAGTGGTGAAATCTTCAAAAGCTGTAAAAATGACTCAACAGCCACAGATCATCATACGATGTTCTCATCGTTTTGATGTTCTCAAAAGTTTGCTCAAGTACAGTTATATGAGTCATCATAAACAATGTTGGAAAGCTAGAACTAACCAAATTATCCCCCCATTGAAGACTAAATAAGTAAATTAGGTTTCATTCACAACATAGAATTGTACATAGTCAGAACACAAGGCAGAACTGGGATGGAATTCAGGAGTAGAGTGTTGTCTAGTGTATGCAGAGCCCCTGGGTTCTACCCCTGGCAAAATAAATGAATGAATAAATGGTAGCTCCCTGTGTCCTGACATAGAATTTTAAACATATTCATTTATAGTAAAGTCTTTCGTGTGAAGTACCAGTAATCTGCATGGCCAGCAAGGCACATACAATTGAATAGGGCCATGATCACTTAGAAATAGGAGGCAGAAGGGTGACCCCCTAACAGGAAGAACATTCCAGAATGTTCTTTCTGCATTTGATCCTTTCCTCCTTCCAGCTGTCAGAACCTGGCACCACTGTTCTCTCATCCAGCATCTGTCTCCTTGTAAAGCTGTCTCATGGGGATAGGAAGTCTAATCAAATCCACCCTTTGATTAGAAATGGCGGGAGCTCTGAGACTTCCTTGGCCATGAGGGGTGCAGAGCAGAGCTCTGAGGTCACGGGCACCTGGGCTGGAATCCTGGCACTGCCTCTAATAAGCTGAGTGCCCTTGGGCAAGTTACTCACCTTTTCTGGTTCTCTAGGAACACCACTGGGGTCTTTGGGTGGACGATTAGATAGATAGATAGATAGATAGATAGATAGATAGATAGATAGATAGATAGATAGATAGATAGATAGGCAGGCAGATAAATAGATAAAAAACTTAGGACATTGAGTCAGTATCTGGCTCCTACCCAAGCAAATTATGCACAAACATGACCACATATCCCCTGGCCTCATGGGGCCTGGAAGAGCAGCCTCAGATCACAGTCAGCCCTGGGCCAGTGGTTTCTCCTCCTCAACACATGGTACAGTGGCAAGGTGCTGACTGCTTTGTACTCCCTGGTAGTGACTGTTAGATTTTTAAGAAAATGTGTTTTTATATTATGACATTTGGATTTGCGCTCAACCGTCCTGCCGATGCCTCCGATGATGCTCTGGGTAAAGAGGAGGCTGTCTGGTGTCTGCAAGGATCTCCACAGCTTTGCCAGCCTTGGCCTCACAGAATTCCTGCCACGGGGACCCCTTGTGTAACAGCTTCCCATAGCTGACAGTCATTCAAATGCCTGGTGGGTTTGTGGGAACCTCTTAGCAAACAGGGCCATGGTGAGCCTCCTCTTCACGATGCCTGTCTCTGTTGTCACCTTGAGCAGCCTGCTGGCCATCCCAGCCGCCACAAGGCTTCCTCATGTCCCCGAAGGTGCTCTCATCCCGTGCTGTGTCGTTCTGTGTGCGGCTGCAGCCATCGGTCCTCTGAAATTGCTTGTTTGTCACTGTTAGCTGTGTTTGGCTCACACGGTCCTCACCTCCTTCACTGCACAGTGTGATAAGAGCATTCGCGTCCTGTGACAATGCGCTCAGCAAAGACTTTTTATTATATATATATATATATATTTTTTTTTTGCCTGAGCTCAACTAAGCAATTTTATCTGCATATGTCTAAAAGACTCAAGTGCAGCCTTGAGTTCAAGCAGTTACGAAAAAATTCAGTGAAACCCTGGTAGCCACATAATTATACAAAAATGAATGCCTCTCTCCCCCCCCCCCCCCCCCGGATCAAGTGCATTTCTGCATTGATAAACAAATATACAATTAATTACAGCAAATGAACAAGAAGAAAGTAGTCACTGAACAGCTTCCCTGCCTTGGGTCTAAAGCGAGATGTTCTGTGTTGAATTAGGTAGAAACAGCCACGGATTCCGACACGGAGAGCAGAGGCCTACGGGAGTACCACTCTGTTGGTGTACAAGTCGAAGACGGAAAGCGGTAACTCCCCCCGCCCCCCAGGTTGGCTGTGTCCCCCAAGCCAGCTGCTCGCTAATCCTGGGCTGTAAGATTCCAGATCCCGCCACACTGGCCGTCAGTAATTCATGCTGCCTGCAGAGACAAGCCATTCATTTCTACTTTCCCCATTTATGTCGCTCAAGTATGAATGAACATGGGTCGCGTCTTCTTTTTTTTTTTTTTTAAAGAGGGAAGGGAATAATTCTTTTCAAAATGATTTACCACCTATTAAAATTGCATCATAGCTCACAGACCTGGAAGGTCAAAGTCCTTTATCCAGAATCCATTTTCAAAAGGAGAACAGGCTGGAGGCAGGGCAGATGTGTGTCTCGCCTCCTAATGCTGGAAATCACAAGGGAGAAAGAGAAACACAGACAGGCAGGAAGAAGGGAGGGAGAAAGCCAGATGTCAGCCATGTCCTGGAATTGTCCCATTTCACAAGTTTTACCTAAAAGTATAGAACACACATGTGCATCTGTGACATTATTATTTCTATGTGTATGTGTGTGTTGTTTTTCAAGACAGGGTTTCTCTGTGTAGCCCCGGCTGTCCTGGAACTCACTTTGTGGACCAAGCTGGCCTTGAACTCACAGAGATCCACATGCTTCTGCCTCCCATGTGCAGGGATTAAAGGTGTGCACCACCACAACAGCTAGGTGAACTATTTTGAACCAGTGCAGAAAAATTATTGTCTTAGTATTAAGGAACATATTTGCCAACTACACAGCAGCAAAAAAGTACCAGGCTCTGTGTTGAAAGCTGCAGGTACTGTGCTGGGGACAGTCCTCCCGACGGGTCTCAGGACCCCACCAGAAAGATCTGAACTGCAAAGAAATTCAAATTATAACCTAAAGATCTACAGAGGGCATTGCTTTATATATAGGTTGCAGTTCATAAACATAGCATGTCTCTAGACTAGTGGCTCTCCACTTTGGGTCGTGACCCTTTGGGGAGTCACATATCAGATATCTTGCATAGCAGATATTTACATTATGATTCATAACAGTAGCAAAATTACAGTTATGAAGTTGCAGAGAATTAATCTTATGGTTGGGGGGAGGGCGGTCACTACAACATGAACTGTATTAGAGGGTCACAACATTAGGAAAGTTGAGAACCATTGTGCTGGATAGAAAGTAGCCATTGAACACTGTTCTCACTCAGTGTACTTGGATGGTAAATGGGTCCATTCATTTGTCACACCCTGTGTTCCTCACAGGGACACTGAAGCACACTGAGCTGAACTTGTCAGTAGGTGTTAGCGCTGAGGCTGGGGAGTGTCCAGTGAAGGGTCTGGGGAAAAAAGGCTGCATCTTTTCTCTCTCCTTCCCTCCTTTTCCAGACATGGTCGTTTCAAGCGCTCAAACAGCGTCACAGCTGCTGTGCAGGCTGACCTGGAGCTGGAGGGCTTCCCTGGACATATCACCATGGAGGACAAGGGCCTGCAGTTTGGATCCTCCTTCCAGCGACATTCAGAGCCCAGTACCCCGACCCAGTATGGGGCACTGAGGACTGTGCGGACGCAGGGCCTCTTCAGTTACAGGGAGGACTACAGGACACAGGTGGACACTTCCACCCTGCCGCCACCCGACCCCTGGCTGGAGCCATCACTGGACACAGTGGAGACCGGGAGGATGTCTCCATGCCGAAGGGATGGCTCGTGGTTTCTGAAATTGCTGCACACGGAGACGAAGAGGATGGAAGGCTGGTGTAAAGAGATGGAGAGGGAGGCGGAGGAGAACGACCTCTCGGAAGAAAGTAAGAGTTTGTCTTTCCTCACAGTATGCTGGACTGGTAATTTCTCAGTGAGGCAAATGGACAAACACCAGTATATCAATAGGGAGATGTCTCTTTCGCATTTGAGGCCATGGAAACAAAATGTTCTCTGCTGCCCCCACCCAATCCCAAGAAGCAACATAAACCATGAAAGGAAAGGCAGTTCTCAGGCTCCAAGGGGCATGCTCTCCCTTTGACTGGTTTTTTGCTTCATTCTATGGGTTGAGTATGAGATTAACCGCACTAACTCTCCCCTGATGGTGTGCTACACCTCTTATTCCACTAACCAGTTCTCTGATCACTTAATTTGCAGCATTCTTATTATTTGTCCCATTTTTATACTCCCCAACATTATGCTAAAGGAACACTGAAGCTAAGCAAGAATTCCCCACTACGGGGGCAGTAGGACTCTACCCACGAGACCCTCCACTGAGCGTGCCCAATGCAGACCTGTCCAAACCCTCAGGCTCTCAGGTCCCTGCTTCTCCACAGAGAGAGTTAAAGACTCGTTCTCCACCTCCCTCTCCTCTACTTGAAGAAATCCACCACCAAGAAGTGGAATCAGGTGGTGTAAGGTGGAAATGTGTTCCCCAGAGGCTGGGTGGTGGGGTGAGGGGAGGGGAAGAGGAGAAGGGGGTGGAAAAGAATGAGATGGGGAGGGAGAAAGGCTTGGAGGGAATGAGGGCTGGGGGGGCGAGAGAAGAGAGAGGCGAGGAGAGGGAAAGAGGGGGGAAGGGAGGAGAAGGGGGACAGAGAGTGGGATTCAGAAACTGTTATTCTACCTCTGTTTTATCCTGATGTTGTTAGGAGGCAGCTACCCTAATAAACCCACCAATCCTTAAATTAGTAAGCACGTTGATCAAGGAAAGTGGATTCAGTTAATTTGGCCAAATCAAGACGAGAGAGCTCCTGGCTTCTCTCAGCTTTTTCTGTAGCAATGTCACATTCGTAGAAAAGATGAAACAGAAACCAGAAGATGTGAGTGTGCCTGTGTAAGCTGTGAGAACTGCGTGTGAGGTCCTCCTCTGGCCGGCTCTCCAGGCTTTCCTTTCCGCCATCACGGGATTCCTAGGACATTTTTTTTTTCAATTCTTTGGAGTCCATTAATCTGACAACCAAAGAGAAGGGCATCCATGTCTTTAGAACATCTCCTCCCCTGCCAGGACAGTTGCACCATTTGGACCTTCCGCTCTTCTTGTACATCCTCAAGGTTCCGATCTGCTCTTGCACATGCAGGTGTGGATACAGTGGTTGCTCTGTTTTTAGAATAATAGATCCCTCCTTATTTTATTCTCCGTGCTTAGACTACGCTTTACTCTTCCCAAGGGTTGGACATTCTTTAAAGGCAATGCTTGTTGACCCTGCACTGCCCGCCAAGGTCTGTGCTAACCATGTCACATACGCATCTTAGTGCTCACCATTATAAGATGGAAGGTGACATCACCAGCAAAACACAGAAGGCAGTGGGGGTCCCCTCTCACCTTCCACCCTGCCCCATGCTGGGTGTCTGCATCGCATGTCTACAATTCTGAATCTCACTGCTGCGTTTCTGGAGACATCCTCACTGTGTCCACTTTCTTCTGCTGTTTGAGAGAATGTGGAGCCCCTACCTCCTATACAGTAGGTCTTTATGATTGACCACTGCTGGGGAGACACCATGTGTGGTCCATGGAGAATGCCTAGGCTGCTAGGTCGTTGCAACAGGGCTGTGGGAATAAATACAGAGACGGGAGGTCAGTTCTTTCTTAAATGAAGGATGAAGACTTGAGAAGGAAAGTGTCCAGGCTGAGGCGTGGCCACAGGTTGTAATTTTCTTCTCTCTGGGGGAATCCACGAAAACTATGAATTTCCTGTTGTGTCCCAAAAGCACTTCTGTGTAACTAAAGTGGCCGTACGATCCATCATCACAGTTGTGCCGTGTATGAGATATGTTCCTGACTGACCTTGGCTCTGGGAAAGCACACCCCTCTAGGCCAACTATAGATCAGAGTAAACTGCCCCCACCTCCTGGTTACATTCTCTTAAATGTACTATTTAACACTTAAGGGGCTTTGATTGAGTGTCATCTTCTGGACTCTTTGTCAGTGATGTTTGTGGTCATTGGGTGTTTATTGAGTACTCACATGGACTAGCCACCATTGGTAGGCCAGAATGATACAAGAATGAGTAGGTTTCAGCATAGAAGGTAGGGATGAGGGAGGTAGGACCAGGAGAAGCCATAGGCAGGAGGAGCAGGACACCAGGACAATGAGAGAAGCATGGATAAAATACTTCAAAAACTCAGAGATCCGAGAGGTGCTTTCGTGGACAAAGTGGACTTGTGCTATACTCTGAGATCCCAGAAAGCAGATGGAATCAAAAAAAAAGGAGACTCCGACACAAAAGAGACACAGAGCTTAGAATCAGGAAGCTCTAGCCTGGCTCCTGAGAAGACCACCACTTAAGCATTGCCCTTTACACCTGCCTGGCCGAAGTGTCAGTAGCATGATGGGATTGATGTTTCTCAAGGGTTGCCTTTGCACCCTGGAGATTTATGGGTCTTTGAGTGCTGAGATGAACAGTTGGTGTGTTGTACGCATCCTTGGTACCTTAACAAAGACCTCTGCAAAGAATAATTGGGGAGAGAGAGAAGGTGGGGAGGTGGGCAAGCTTCATGAGCAGCAACATTCACGGTCCACCCCATCTTCTGTATGCCCTTCCAGAATTCCAGGGCATTGGTTTGTGCCCTCAGGTGTGGGGTGGGAGCATCACATGGTCCTAACCCTAAAATAGCAGCTATTGGTTTTGACTTACATGTTCTTTTCTCCACTGAACATGACTTTAACACTGTAAGCCTCGAGCATGGGGGATAGGGAGTGCAAACTCCGGTACATTCCTAAATTCTAATCTCTTGGACACTTGTGTCTCCTTGTGAGCAGAGATGACATGACTGACTGTGTCTCCCACCTGCATGACTTGCCCATACAGCTATCCCAGAGTTAATCAAGTTCACCTTTCCCTAACAATATTTACAAGTAAGATAACCTCCAAGTCTAGTTCTTATTTTAGCAACAGTCATTGGTCTCCACACTTTTAAAATTAAGATTAAATTAAATGGCTTATTAAGCCAAAACTCTGAGCTCTGAATATTGAAATTTCCATTACATGAAATCATTTTTGCCCAAACTATCATTTTGTAATCACAGTTCACTGAACTGAATGAATGGATCTAGTTTACTCAGTGCTGTGTGGCTAATAAAGGCTAGCCAGAGCCAAATACAGACTGGTTCGGGTTCAGTCCTGCCGTGCAGGCCTCCTACTTTCAATACAAAAATGGAAATATTTAGGAGATACTGAAAGTGCTGGAGAATTAGAGTTTGGGGTTTTTTTGTATTAACTAAATCAAATGGATAAGGATGTGAAGTGAAGCCCAAACTTACTAAGTCTTTTGAAACAAACAAAAATCCCTTGTTTGATGACTGCATGGAGCTGGGGCTCTCTCATGACCCCCACACAGGAGCCCATGTACCATCAGGTCTTGTGATGGGTGTTGGGGCTCTTTGACTAAATAACTCCTCCCACCCCAAACATCTGCTCACTTGAGCATTCCCCCATTGGGTGCTGAGAGCTCCAGGCAATCGGAGGGACCTTTAGAGATCAGTTATCCAAGGGATGCCCTCTCACAGTCAGGACAAATGACCACCAGTGTGGTCATATAATACCACAGTGGGATCAGATGCCTGTCACAGGGTCTCCCGGGCCATGTTCCATGAAGGGTACAAAGGTCTATGGATGGGAATGACCAGCTACAGGGCACATTCCCATAGGACCAAGCAAATGACAGGGAAGGTGTGAGACGAACAGAACACGGGTAAGGAGCACAGCGCTGAAGAGAAACTCTAACCCTCTCCATTTGGCCAGGATACCTGAAGCACACAGAGTGGAGGGTGAGAGGGATGATGGCCTCTGTGCAAACCAGATTCCAGGGTACAGACAGCGCATTGAGTATGGGGAGGATGTGCGCATGTTATATGCAAGTCCCTGCATAGGCTGATGGGGTCCCCCTTGCTTATAGACTTCTGGCAAGAGCCAGGCCAAAGAGTATGCCCAGCTTGAGGGTCAAGCTGGCAATGTCATTAGCTGGTCAGAGTCTTACTAAGGGTGTGAGGAGAGCCTGTAAGGAACTAAACAACTCGGTTACATGCTCATGCCATGAAAGAGAGGAGGCCTGGGGCCTGAAGGGAAATTTTCAGGAGCAGTACCCACCTCCAGTGCTGCAAAACTAATCGCCAGGGAGTCCCAAGAGAGGCTGTCAACACCAGACGATCCTTTTCAACTCTGCAAATTCTACAAAAGTCCACTTGAGATTCTTAGAGTGGTGCCAGTATTCCATAGGAAATTTTCATAGAATTAAATTAGATGAGACAGGTGAAAAATAAATTCAAAGAGCCAAGTTAGCTAATTTTTTTTTTTTTTTTTGTACACCAAAGGCCAGGGTTACATCAGGTTCTTTGAAAATTTGCATTCTGATGAGTACCAGTCCTTATCTGCAGCCCTTAAGAGGACACTGTTGAAACTCTGACAAAATTAGGCAAGTATAGTGGTAAAGAATAAATTGAATTTTCGCTTCAAATTCCCTGCAATTACAGGAAGCTATTTACAATATAGGCCTCGGATAGGATCACTCCCATTCACTAAGCGGCCAAGTTCACCTACCATTAGCAGCTGCTCATTAGCCCCGTTCCACCATGCTTCATCTCCATGGCACTGTTTAATTTATACCTGCGACAAAAACCGCACCACATTAATCCATACCAAGAATCACCATACAGTCACACTGTGCTAAAGATTATAAATCACAGTCCTTTATGGATACTTCAGCAGAATTCTGTTTTAAGAGGAACACAAAGATTAGGTATTTAAGCCTCAAGTTTTGAAGAACAAATCAGCTTTTTATTACAATCTAAAGAAAGGAAGGCAGTAAAACAAATACATGCATTCATGGCTTCTTTAATTTTATAGCACAAGTTTGATTAAAATGAGCCCTTCTAAATACTATCAATCACCTGTGCTACAGGATAGAATGAAACAGAAATTCCACCTTCCAGAAGCAAAACATTCATCTTCTGGACACCAAGACTGTTCATCATGCTCCTGTAGGGCATCAGGTGTGAATGAGGGATGATGTGTTTTCTGTCCCTCTTTGAGACTCTGCTCAAAGTGCTGCCCACACGCACCTCCCTATCCCTACACCCCCCCCCCACTACGGGCCTGAACCCAAATCTGAAAATTCAAAACACCTTGAGCAGTGGCTGACAAGTGAGAGATTCTACACCTGACCTCACGGGACAGGCCACAGGCAAAACGTGAATGCTAATATGGTGTAGGAAGCACCTGCCGGCCATGCGGAGAAGGCATAATGAAGCTTAAGTGAATCTGGTGGTTAAACTTGGGTCCCATCCCTCAATGTCTCATTATATGTAAGCAAACATCCCCAAATCCAAGGTAATCTGCAGTTCACCTCTCTCCTTCCCCAAGCATTTCTAAAGAGGGATGTCGGACCTGAACCATCTCCAGGGGCCTCCATATCCCAGCCCTTCTTCCCCTCCTTTCTTCCCGTCACAGTCTAATGGAGATCCCGCCTATCAAGACCTGTAACCTCCCCTTCTCTTGCGGCGGAAAGGAAACCAGTGTGGTTTCATTCGCCCACTGATGAAATGTTCTGGGGTTTACCTTTTTGAACATCCTAGAAGCAATCTAGAATTAGACCATAGCAGGCAATCAATCCGTGCTGAGAAGTGAGGATGTGTGCCGTTCGACAAGGTGAAAGTGAAGTGTGGGTTAAAACATGCTTTCAGGTGGCTAATGAGTCACTCACAGCCTCGGCTGTTTGCTGTAAGAGATACAGACAGAGGTGCTTGCTAGACTCCTCTTCCTGATCTTCCACAAATGTGGAATTTTCCATGATCAATTTTTAGAGAATAAAAATGTACAAGGAGGAGGAGGAGGAAGAGGGAGGGAAAGGAGGAAGGGAGGGAGGAAGGTAGGAAAGGAGGAAGGAAGGGAGGGACGGAGGGAGGGAGAAAACACATCCAAATAAGTGTTTAATCACTTTCAAGAGCACATGATATTCAGGGGTCGACCCTGGCTTTGAACCGGCGAAGAATGCCTTCTGCACGGTACTTTCCGATTGCCCTCTGAATCACCTACTCTTACACTCCCTCGCTTATCAGCCCACTGTTTCTACAGCATTGCAGTCTTCAGCAGTCTCCACGCATCCCTCTGAGCACTTGCTCTTTCTGTCCTCAAGTCTGGCTAGGGAAGAGTGTGGAAGCGGCTGCACCAGCTGGCCTGTGAGGTCAGAGTTTTTGATGCCAGATGCCAGCGTTCAGCACATGTAGGATGTTTCTTCTGTCTCTGCATTCTTGGTACTCAAAGCCATTCCTCACTTAATGCTAACAGTGGACTTTTCCACCGAGTGCATCCTCAGCCCTCCAATAATTGGCCCTGGGACTAGTTGTAGCCGCCACTGGTCCTTGGGGAGCTAGCCTGTGAGGAATAAAGCTACAGTAACTCAGTCCCTGTCTCTGACCCTCAATTTCATCTCCTGGAGATGGATGTTGGGCTGTGGTGGTAGAGAGCACCATAGACTGCCATAGGTTCTGCTTGCTGGTCTTCCACTGATCTGGAAGTTCTTTTGACTTGACTCGATAAAACCTCAAGGGTCTGAACAGCCAGTTGAACTGCACAGCTCTCCAAGGCATAGCACTGGGTCCTTTGCCTCTGCTTCCCTGAGGGACAGAACTCCAGGACACCTGTCCCCCGCCCCCCAACCTTGGCACACAACAGACAGATGCTAATCACAACTCTTTTCCAGAAAAGCCTAGGAGAATGGATCCAACCCGCAACGATTTGTTTCAAGTACTTGGAATGGGGTGGATGTCTGTGCTCTGCATGGAAACTTGAAGGAGAAACTCACAGATGGCAGCTAAGCCTCATAATCAAGTAGTGACAGAGAGAGAAGTCTAGAAAACTGCACTGTATGAGTTCTGAGGGCGGCATATGAGCGGGAGTTGCTGAGGGAAGCTGGGCAGAGATAAAAGGGTCCCGCAGGAAGAAAGGTTTCCATTGGCTCCCGGATGACTCTGAGGCCTGTGTGAGCCTGAGTCCACAAAGCAACTGCCTTCAGGATGGTGCTGCACTCACGGGAAAGCGGAGGAGGGACAATGAGGAAGTTCAAGGGCAAGAGCCATAGCTTCTCTGTCCCTTATGTTTTCCTAGACAAAGCCTTCCATTTTCCCAGTCTAAATCTAGAAGCCGTCGCCGTGTGTTAAATCCTCCGCATGGATAAAAACACATTCTTTACTATTTTTAAAAGTTAATATTTAGCTTCCCACATAAAGCCATTGAGGATCAGGAATCCTTTGTAGCCCAAAGCCGAGTCCTGCTGGAGGCATGGTTAGTCAGGTAACATTAACCTCACAAAGGGTCTGACAAGCCAGCGAGGCTGATCTACTGTGTGGCTCATGACTCTTTGGCTGATTCTGAGGTATGGCATGACCTCATATGTGGCTGCCCTCTGTGTAGCTCCTCTGTATTTGAGACACAGCTCATGTCATTTCCATGAGACAGTACCCTCAGTTCACTGGAGTATTTAATTAAACTCAATGAGATGGAAGATAACCAATGTGCTTTTCTCAAAATTGAGGGGTGACCATCTCAGTATTATTCACTGGGTCTTCTGGAGCCTATGGCTCCTCAACAAGGCCTCACCTGAGCATCAAAGCTAAACAAACTCAGGGCCTAAAAAGAAGATCTTATGGTGCCTTCCACCTTAGTGAGCTAAACCATCCCCAGTCCTCAGTGATAACACCCTCATAGCTGGCATTTGGTTAACTTTGTGTATTCTCATGAGCTGGGAAGGAATGGAAACTTCAGCTGATGGGTGTGTTCAACATGGTCCACCCTAAGCCCCAACCCCAGGAAAAAGGCATGGGTGGCCGTGCTGGTCCCAGCTCACTGGATGCTGCACATTCTCTCTTTTGTCATTACGGACCGGGTCCTAATCTGTCCTGTGTCTCACAGTTCTAGGAAAGATCAGGAGCGCTGTGGGAAGTGCCCAGCTGCTCATGTCCCAGAAGTTCCAGCAGTTTTACTGGCTTTGTCAGCAGAATATGGTAAGTAGCACGGTCGTCCCACCCCGTGGGTGTTGAGATGTGGTGTGCATGCATTCTCACAGACTCCTTGTTACTTTTCATGACAAAGCACCATGACCGAGGCAATGTATAGAAGAAAGCATTTACTAGGGGCTCACAGTTTCAGAGGGCATGTTCATGTGGTGGGGAGCATGGCAGTAGGCAGGCAGGCAGGCAGGCAGGGCACTAGAGCAGTAGCTGAGAGCCTATATCCTTATCCACAAGCTAGAGGCAGAGAGAGCTAACTGGGAATGGCCTGGGCTTTTAAAACCTCAAAGCCCACCCCCAGTGACATACCTCTGCCACCAAGGCCACACCTCCTAATCCTCCCACAAACAGTTCAACCAATTGTGGAACAAGTATTCAAACATATGACCGACCCCATGGGGTGTTTTCATTCAGACCCCCACACTCCTCATTCGTTGACATGCCCCTAAGCAGGAAGATGGGTGAGAAAGAAGATAACCCAGCCCTGGACCCACTTCCCAACACTGGAGACCCACAAATAATCCCTGATGAGCCATACCTCAGCCTTAGGGACCCACACTCCACCTCAGGGGACTTATACTCTGGCCCTGAAGACACACCCAAGGCTCAGAAACCCACACATCTTGCCCTGGGGACCCATACTTCTGCTCTGGAGACCCACACACATATCTCCAAGGACCAACATCCCATCCCTAGGGACCTGCACCCCATCTGGGACTCATACACCTACCCCTAGTTCTCTACATTCAGGCCCCAGCAACTCACACCTTAGGCCCAGGATCCAGCTGGAAGCTGGGGTTGGGGCTGGGGCTGAGTAGAGCATGCAGGTGAGAGGGAGAGTCTGGGTGTACCTCCACTACTGGCTCTTCTCCCAGAAAAATCCCAGAAGAGGAGGTAGGAAAGTCATTGCTATGATGGCCAAGGTCACAAGTAAAGAAAGTCATCTATGAGGGTGTTGAGCAAAGACATATTCATGTGAAGAGATTAAGAAGAGATCTTAGAAGTCATTTGGTCTTTGCATATCTTGTAGGCAGAACAGAAATTGATGTGTCTTGAGCTAGATTTATGAATGCATTCGGCATCGATCCTGGGTCTTCCTGGAAAAGAGAGGAGAAACCCGTGTGTGTGTGTGTGTGTATGTGTGTGTGTGTGTGTGTGTGTGTGTGTGTGTGTGTGTGTGTGTGTGTGTGTGTTTATATACCTGTACATATGTTCATGCATACGAATCTTCATATATCAACATATGCATGTACCCATTTATTGTATGCGCACACAATGTTTGGGTTTTGTCTGACTAAATTATGCATATAATTTCATGAGAAACAGCTGAATCGTATTCATAGTTCTAGGCAATTTTACAATCCAGATACTTAATACCAAACACTTTCCATAAAGGCAAAAGCCGCTGTGGGGCTTGTCATGGCCGAGGCAGCCGGTGTTCTGACGGTGCCCTGCTTGTTAGCTTGTGTGCAGACAGTGAACTTACATGTCCTGCTGCATATGCAAGTGCAGCCCCTCCGAGGTGCAGATCCGGGTCTTTCATTGGGGTCATTAAGGATAATGCTTTCTCTTAACGTTTTCCAGCCAGCCCATTAAAGGTCATCATGAGGTGTAGAGTTAGATCATGGCACCTTTGGCATGAAGCTCTGTCGACATTTAACGGATGATCTGGAAGGTTTGCAGCCTTGAAAGATGAAGCTGGGTAGAAAAAAAATGTTTGGCTCTTATGTGTAGCCCTACCTTCCTGTCCATACTATCTTTGCCAGACGAACGGTTTGATCGTAAGGAACGCTGTGTGCCGTGCAGTTGTGGTCAGGGTGGCCTGGCAGCCTCTGAGGTGTCTTGGTACAGCCCCTGCTGCATCAGGACCAAGCTCACCCTTCAGCTTATGAAATGCTCACCTCTTCTGCACTGGATGCAGCTGATTTAGGCTTGAAATGATCCACCCTAACCATCTTTGATGCCTCTCAAGTTCAAAAGCATCTGGCTGGCTCTTTTCTTTTGGCTTCTCTTGGGGGATCTCTAAGACCCTTGTTGAGGAATGGTGAAGTCAGGAGACACAGGCAAAAGACCGAGCAATGGTATTTGCCCTCCAAGCTGTGGTTCACGCTTGCTGGGGGATTCTGCTGGTGGTAGACATTTTAGGTAGTTTGCCAATCATTAAGTCTAAGAAATAACCCTAGGGAAAACCAGACCGCCCCCCCCACAAGGTGTCTTGAAGTTGTGCAGGTGTGGGCAGCTCGTGATTTAGCTACAGTGTAGCTATCCCTCTTCACTCTACACACTCAAGCAAAAAAAGACAGACAGAAAGCCCGGTATCTCAGAAAGAAGCTTACATGGCCAGACGCTGCTTCAGTGTGGACAGAAGTCGCCCTCTAGTGGTTCAATGTAAGAACAGGCTCAAACAGCAAAGTCCAGCTCTGGATCCTACTTAGGAGGAATGGACAGACACATTGTGAGTTCACCTTCTATCCTCTCTCCCTGCCCCACCCCTGTGACCCTCCCTGGTGCCATAAGCTGTTATCTGGGTAACTGTGAGACTGAAATGGTGCCTAAACAGGTATAATTTCTATGTGAGCATCAACTTGGGCTAAAGAAACTGTGAGCCAAACAATGTTCAACTCAAACTACTGATGAAAGTTGGATACTTTAAGCATTCAAACAAATGTCTGATTTCGGGAGACCACAGTAGGAGTCAGCCTCACACTGAATCAAAAGAACCACACGCAGAATTAGCACTCGATTGTCAGAGTAGGAACCGATTGGACCATACATTGTGCAGAAATAATGTGCATCTTGGACTCAGAACCAGCCCAGGAGCTGCCTGTGGGTAGCTGAGTGGCACCCCTTGGGCAGGCTAAGTTGCGGGGGGAGGTGTTCTTGAATCTTCTGTTCCTTCAAGAGATCAGCTTGGCTCTACATGGGAGGAAACTACATTCACATTACCTTTTGAAGTAATACTTGATCCTCAGAACTAGAGCTAGGACCCATCAAAATAAACACCATGAAATAAATGGCTGCAATCCAAATGGTCTCAGCACCAGACACGTGCAGCCCTGTCCCTTCTGAGTAAGCCATGGGGCTCTACTGTGTCTATGAGCTGCAAACCGTTTGAAGGGTGTTACTCAGAAAGTTTGCAAATACTTGGCAAGTAGTCCTCTACCCCTGAACTACATCCTAGCCCCCAGGATTTTCAAGCTGAAACATTGAAGGGTTATGATGCGTGGTTTTAAGCAGTTGGCACATACCTGGGCTATGGTTAACGTTTATGGGGTCATGGAGCGTCTCCTGCCTTGTCTCCAATGAGTGGAGTCCCTCCTAGTCAGACTCCTTGAGTGACATAGTAAGAAAGAGCAGGCCCTGTAATGTCCCTGTGTGTCCACAGGACCCCAGCGCCATGCCAAGGCCAACATCGCAGGATCTAGCTGGCTATTGGGATATGCTGCAGCTGTCTGTGGAGGATGTCAGCATGAAGTTTGATGAACTGCACCAGCTGAAGCTCAATGACTGGAAGATAATAGAGTCACCAGAGAGAAAGGTAATGAAGTCACACGGTGTGCTGGGTGGGTCCTGAGCACTGTGCCTGTGGGCTTCTGGTACCTGCTGTAGTGCTGGATGATGGCCAGTTTCTCCACCTTTAGTCATTGATACAGGATCGAATTCCGTGTGTGTGTGTGTGTGTGTGTGTGTGTGTGTGTGTGTGTGTGTGTGTGTGTGTTGCAGGCGCATACACAAATAGACAGGATGGGGTCCTGGGTATGTGAATAGCAGGGGTGTCTTGCTCTATCTCCAGTACACAAACATCTCAGACAAACCACTAAAAATCCCTACATCTACAATCTAGCTTCCTCCAGGGATAAATCCTGGCTCATTTTCATCTGACTTCTGCTTGCATTGTATTTAGACGATCTCCCACAGGTAAGATCTTAGGTCTGGCTAAGATGGCAATCTTCTAGTCAAATATACCTCCCTGGTGCATGTTGGGAGTGAAGGACAAGGCATCATTTAAATCTTTCCAAGCAGTCTGAGGGTGTGATCTTCCTATGGAGCCCCAGCCGTAATTAGGCTGAAAATTTGCATTAAATCTGAATATTGGCTCTCTGCTTCGTGATGAGATCATCTCAGGAGAGCACTGGAAGATGGTCTAAGTCAGCAGTACATGCACCTACTGACGAGCTCCCCAGAGAAGTAATCATGGTCTGAATTTTCTAGACAGATATCATCCATTAAACGGAGTTACAGCTAGAGGGGCTGGTGAGATGGCCCAGTGGGTAGAGAGAGGTGTTTGCCACTGACCCTGAAGCTCCGAGGCTGACCCCATGATCTACTTGGTGAGAGGAGAGAACTAATGCCTACAAGGTGTCCCCCGATCTCCACAAGTGCACTGTGGCATATGTGCAAACCCCCACCACACACACACACACACACAAGCATGCATACACACGCTAAATAACTATGTTTAAGTTCCAGTTAGATGTTGCGGTATATGCCTGAATTCCCAACATTGAGAAGCTGAGGCAGGAGGGTTGTAAGTTTGGGGCCAGCCTAGAATAAATAGTGAAACTGTGTCTCGAAATGAAAGAAAACAAAGTTACAAGGAAAACAGATTACTCATAGTTTGGAGAAGTGCTATTCCACGTGTGAGCAAGAATGGGTAGCTAAGTGATTAGAATGAAAGCCAGTGAGGGCACTCACTACTCACTGTTTGAACCTCCTCAAAGACACTGCTGGGGCTAGTGGGGCTGAAAGCCAACAGCCATAGATCTCCCTGAGGACGGTGATCAAACTCCTCCTACCAGATAAGGGGAGGGGTGTCGGAACACAGAAGAGAATCCAGACTACCCATGATTCCGAGGAAATGAGAGGATGGCACAAGAATGGAATGATGAAAGCAGTGCTCCCATGAAAGCAGTGCTCCCATGAAAGCAGTGCTCCCAATCCAGCCCACACAAAGGCACACGGACCAAGTCTCCTGTGAAATGTGTTCTTGCTCAGGACACTCACCCCCATGCAGAGTGGCAGGTGCACACCTTAAAGAAAAGCCTGTGCCTTCTAGGTACTTCTGAAGACAGAGTTCCAAGCCTTGCAAGGTTCATATCTCCCCCCACCACTCTGCTACAGTGAGAGGAGAGAGATGAACAATTGTGTCCTCCATGAGAGCTGCATTTCTAAGTAGCTTAAGAGGCACACCAGGTAGTCAGGAGTGGGCCATAGCTTCCGACCTTAGGAACAAATTTCAGACACCAAGGCAGCGTTTCGCTTTTTCCAACATCAGGCCACTGTGGGCATGGGCACACGCTCCTCTGCTTCCTGTACCACATACAGCTCAAACATGGAGACTCAGGTGACAGCGCTCTACTTAGGCAGGAGTCGTCTCACGATAGCCAGGGGAGGTCCAGATTGGCTCTCAGGAACACCATCCCAGAGTGCAAGCCCTGTGCTCTAGTTCGAAAGCCTTCTGCATCACATGTGTTTCCAGTCTGTCCACATTCCTTCTCTCGAGATGCATGTATATTTTTGGATGTGAATTGAGAATCGAAGCTAAGGGACATACTGTATGTGCATAGATATGTAATTATATGTGTGTTTACAGTAAAGTCAGTGTGGGTTTAGGCTCGTGGTTTGAGAATTTAGCTCAGGGATCCTTGGGGGCTCCTGTCCGCATAAGATGGTTTTCATGAACATGCTTCCTCTCCCACAAACATCAGGCGACCACTTCCATACTCCCTCGAGGCATTTGCTACCACTCAGGTAGGACAGTGCTTTGGAAAGTATGGGGGTGAGTGGGAACTGTAGAATGCCAGAGCTAGGGGGCTGACTGTGTTGAGATGCAGCTTATTTTCTTATCCGCAGACACTGCCTTAAACTCCTCAGTCTCCACTAAAAAATCCGAAGTTTAGAAAGGTGACCCCCCCCAAAAAAAAAAAGTGAATGCTGTAAGATGAAGCTGCTTCACTGGGCATCGGTGGGGGTGAATTTGGCAGTGCCTACCAGGGCGGGAGATCCAACAGAACTTGGATGAACCAGGGCTCCAGGACTCAGCACCTCTGGTCTGCCCCTGACCTCCCCCTGACTTAACTGAGTCCCCCCCCCCTTGACCTCTAATGACCTCCCCTCTACCTTCTCATGACTCTCCATGATCCTCCTGGCCTTGCCATGACCCCTCCCATCTCTCCTCTGACCTCCTTCCACTTCCCCATGACCCCCCCCAACACACACACACCCCCCTCTCATTCCTGACCTCTCTCCTGATGTTCCCCCGATCTTCCCCAGACTTCCTCCCACTTGCCTCCGAGACCTCTCCATGACCTTCCCTGACCTAGTCTGACTTGTGATGCTTTTCAGGAAGAAAGGAAGATCCCCCCTCCAATACCAAAGAAGCCCCCCAAGGGGAAATTCCCCATCACAAGGGAAAAGTCCCTGGACCTGCCGGACCGACAGCGCCAAGAAGCCCGGCGTCGGCTCATGGCAGCCAAGAGAGCCGCCTCCTTCCGCCAGAACTCTGCCACCGAGAGGGCAGACAGCATTGAGATCTACATCCCCGAGGCCCAGACGCGGCTCTGAGGACCAGAGGTGGCCACGCGCGCCTGGTTTTGTTCTTTTACACAAAATGCTTGTACAGTTTATTGCCTACCTGGTAGTTTCTGTCTCACCCTCCACCGGATTCACCCTTGCCGTGTTCTCTGCACCGTAGACAGTGGACACTCTGATTCCTAGTTTGCTGAGCTCATGGCAAGACTGACTCTGAAGGACATCGGCTCTGAGGAACAGGCTTGGTGAGCCCTGACTTACCTCCCTGTTCGCAGAGGGCCGCCCAGTGGCCTCTTGAGATGGAACCTAGCTTTCACTTTGTTATTTATATTTTTATAAATTGTGTGATTAACCAGAGGTCACTACAAACGGGTGCATCTCCCCACTCTCGAGAGGCATTAGACATCCAAGTGGAAGGTGCTACAATTCGAAGGGCAGGAAAGACAGACAAGCCTGTTCCCTCTCATCTGAGTTACTCTCCCCAGCTCAGTTGCCCCAAGACCCTGCTGTCCTCACTGGTCCCGCCACCACAGGAAGCACTCGGTTCCTTGGTTGACATTTGTGACGACAGAAGAGGGTCTCTCCAAGGTCCCCACCACGTGGTTCTCCAAAAGGAAATGACAAGGCTGAACCCCACCCCACCCCCCAAAAAAAATATCTAGCATAGAATCTTTATATTCAAAGCTCAGCTGTATGTTCCTCTAAGAGAGGGACCCATGGAAAGGGCTGGCAGAAGCCCAGAGAATACAAAGAGGGAAAAAACTAAGAAATAGTCATGGTATTTTTATCCCTTCGTAACCTAAACCATTACACATAGCATTTTCTTAAACTTCAACTGCTTAAGCTACATGTACTTTTTATGTATGTTACATGCGTTCTCAAACTGCTATCACTTGACTTTCCAGGGTACCTTTAAAGGAGTTTGCTTGTTTATGATGACAGTTGTGATGGTTGTAAAACATATAAGAAATATGAATGTGAGTGGTAAGTATATCAGTTAAAATGGTAAAGAAGAAAAAAAATTAGTTTATACTCGTATTTTTCCAGAATTCTTTTGGTCCTATGCAGTACTGCTGAAGTTAAGAATATATTTCTTGCCTGTGTTAGGCATGAAAAGGGGAGGGGGAAAGGCCATGCATGGTGATTTCCAGCCGTGGAATCTAAGAAAGGTTGTCAGTAGTCATGACTCTGAGGGTGCTGAGAAGAGAAAAGTTGGCTCTGATTAACAGGCTTTGTGTAAATTAGATTTACACGTTAAGAGGCGACGTTACCAGACATCTGCACAGAAGTTCAGACGCCACACCGAGCGCTCAGACTGCCCATGGCCCTGATCTCAGAGGTCTCTGTTGTTCAGGTTCAGGCAGGGTCCCACCCCATCCCAGGCCTTCCCTCTTAATACATAAGGAGCCCCATGCACTCAGCCATAGGAGCAAAGCTTTCGACATCCCCTGTACCATCTGTGTTCTTCTCGTGACTTGCACTTTAAACGGTCCCCAGGGCCCCCTCTGCAGCCTGACTGCATCGCTGGTCACTGCATGCGGGTACCCATCGAGGCAGCCTTGCAGCTGGGTGTTGCTAAGACGACACCGGCCTCTTCCTCATCCTCTCCATTCCTCTACGCATGGGGGGGCACGGTTGATGTTACAGCATGTCAAGCCTCAAAGTTTTACTTTTTTTTTTAAGCCGAGTAGTCAAGAATTCCCTGTAATAGCAAAATCCTATAAATCGAGCCTTGTATCTGGTATATATTTTACCAAACAGCCTTAAATATATTTGGAAGCAAAAATCATATGAATGTATATCCTTTAAAAAATGCAAAAAAAAAAAACTCCCCAAAATATTCTTCTATCACTGAACCCTATTTCCCCAGAGTGTTCAAAGCATTTTCTACCTAAATAAATACGTAAATCCTGAATAGTACAATAATGATGCTTCCTCCTGTATTCATGCCACTGTGCTAAAATATATATATATTGTAAGCACTGGTACTTCAGACTTTGAAAGTGATGTATCCTAGAGGAACTATCTAGAAGTAATCAGAGGTAAGCAGGTCTGATGTACACCCCCTAGCTGAAGGAAATACAAAAAGCAAATGTCCCTGCTGCCCACACCCGTGAGGTTTCTGGCAGCCTTCCCCATCACTTCCTCGACACAACATACATAGAAACAAATTGTATCATTAGACAATCATTGTTTGTCTTAAGCCCAAAATTCTATGGACCCAACTTGAACAAAGTATCCATTCAATTTTAGTTAATTATGTTGCCTATATTCATTGTTCATCCGATGCTACCCAAAGTCTTGGCCTAAACTTCCCCTAGCTGAACAAAACTTCCTTCCCTGAGTTGCATGGTGGCCCCTCTTCAAAGTGAAAAAAAAAAAATGTATCCCTATCTGGTTCACTAGGTTCCAAAGATTATTCGTTAATGACCGAACAAACACGTGCTGCTAGTTCTGATGGAGTGTTAGCTGTTCGAGTCCCCTCATAAGTGCAATACCTTCGGTTCTCATGTGGGTGACAAGCCACCGTGGAACAAGAAGATAAGCCATGTTTACACTGCGTCATCCGAGCAAAGGCCAGCGGCACTGGTCACGTGGGCACGCTGTTCCCTCCGGCTCCTTTATATTTCAGTTGCACTCAGGAGGGTCATGGTGTGGAATTCTCCTGTGGGCCTCTCATCTCATCCAAAATAGGACATTAATGAAAAACTGGTACACGGACGTGGCTGTAACCCGGTGCCGTCCATGTTGTCCGCCCCAGCACACCTGTGTTCCCAGAGATGCCTCCGACAACCGGAGAGACTTGAATGTCCTCATTTCAGAATCCCTTTCTCACACCGTCAGGCTGCTGTGGACTCTGCTGTGCTGAGCTTTCGGGAACAGTGGGAGAGAAGGCGCAGCTGAAGAGCAGGACCTGGGGGGGGGGGGGAGAACGAGACTGAGCAACACGAGTATCTTCCATGTACTTTCCTGCGCATCTCTATCTGTTCCTGTGGTGATTATCATTGCCATATTTTTATCGTCACCCTAGAACGGTGTAGAAAGCAGCCAACTTGTTTTATACCAAGAAATCACCTCACTGAAAAGGAAATGCCCACACTTTTAACTTCAAACCACATCTGAAGACTTCACACATTTAATAGGAAGTAAATCCTTAGGGAAAAAAAAATTACAAATTATTTGACTGCCTCAGAAAACGACCCAAAACAAGAAGCTGCAGAGTGGAGGCGATCTTCCAGCCAGCCTTTATGGAGATGTCCAAGCTATGATTAGAAGATCACCAAAAGTACACAATGCATATGATGGATCCTGTTTCTTGGGGTGTCTGTCCCAGTGCACCCCATCTTGATTTCTGCCTTTGATTAGCATATTGAGCACGCACTGTTTTTTAACCATCCTAACTTAAATCTGCTGCCTCTGTGTGTTCACCACACACCCCCAACCCCAGGGCCCCAAGGAAGAGATTTCTGTGGAAATAGTGATATCATGGACACATGGCCCAAGTGCCTGGAGCAACCATAGAACTCCCTGCCTTAGAAACAGCTGTCTGGTTTGGGCCAAACCTTTTTTTTTTTTTTAAAGATAGAGTCTCACTGTGTATAGTATAGGCTAGCCTCAAATTTGCAATTATCCTGCCTCTTTCTTCTGGGTGCTGGGATTATAGACATGCACCATCACACCCAGCCTTGATCCAAAATTTTGGGCAGCAGGGATGGAGTGGAATGAAAGACAGAGGCATACAGGATTTAGCGATCTATTACGGGATAATCAGGTTTGAGCCGGCCCTCCGGTGTCTCTGAAGACCTGGAAGCCAGTCACCCTTTGAGGGGCACACAGGTCGGGTCTCAGCTGCTTTCTCCCACAGTGTCGGTCACCTTGCTCAGGGTTCCCTGACCACAGCTCCAGGATGTCCACAGGGACAGAAGCTCAGAAGGACAAGTGGCAGCTCAGATAGACTCAGGCTGACAGGTTAGCAGGACCGAACCTGTTGCTGGCAGAGGAACTCCCGCAGATGTTGGAGGCAGCGGCAGCAGTCCCCTGAGGACCTGTATCTGGCTTGAAGGAAGCTGGCTGGCTGGAGCAATACTGGGCATGAGGGGGTACTGAAGCACCATGCTCACCCCACCAGCTGCAGACTTGAAGCACACTTTCCCAAGTCACGGGCTTTAGTGTGCCCGCCTCACCCAGCCACTTTCTTCTCCAGCCTTGGGCGTCTTCATGTTCTTACTGCAAATTTAACATATGACTCCCTTCACGGTTCCCCCCGTCATTTTTATAGTTTTTCAAACTATATTTGCTGGAAGTTTCAACAAGTTTATTTCTACCCACTCGCTGTTGATACTTGCAAGTAGGTGTGGATCAAACCCAGGGTTCTAAATCCAGTCAACCGCAAGCTTAAGAGAGCGAGACTAGAATGGCCTCTGATTGGCAGTGGCCTCAGCTGCATGGGTGAGCAATGAACTTTGCACTAACTCATCCCCCATTACCACCTGTCATGAGCACGCCACATCAGCTGACGTCACCCCTGTGCCCTCGTGCTGCGTGTGCCTCCTGTGGCTAGTGGAAAGGTCCCACAAACTGAAGGCTGTGAACTTCCCTGTCAGGCTAGATGCCCTCTACACGGAGTGGCTCCGGGAAGTTTGAGATGTCAACAAGAAGGTGCCAGAAGCCCCGAGGCCCAGCCAAGCCGCCAGAATTTATGCATGCAATGGCTAGTAACCTGTCTTCACTCAGCCCCCCCCCCCCCGTTTTCTCTTCCATGTGACGTTAGTGTTACGCTCCCTACCTCCCTCATAGACAGACAGACACAATGTAAGGACTGATGACATACAGCCTCTGGCATCTTTAAGCTTAGAGGTTTATGGTGAATGTGTATTGTTGCTTGGGATTCATCCTCTGGCCCTACTATGTGTGCTGTGGTCCCACTCTGTGCAAGAGGCTGGTAGAGCCAGGCAGGGCACAAGAGGCAGGGACGTTTGCTTTAGGGTCCTGTCCTGCCTAGGCACAAGGTCAAACAAGAATGCAGAAGGGCACAGAAATGAAGTATAAGTGCCAGGAACTTCTTTTCCTGCTGGCTGGGACTTCCGTTTCTATATTCTTCCACGAACAAGAACCAATACCACCACCAAGAACTGCGTGACATTCTCACCATCTCGTCAGCTCAGCTCCCTCCTAGATGAAAGGAACAGATGTTATCTGTACTGTGATGTGATGACAGTATGGTAAACAGAAGGATGTGCATGTGACGAGCACCAGGATGGACCCAGACCTGCAGCACAGTCGCTGCCGAGGTGTGGATTCCGCCCCAAGCCCCCATTCTGCCATCATTCCCCTGCCCACTGCAGAGATGAGCACACACACACTCTGAGAAGAAGCCTTTCCATTCTCACCACACCGAAAAACACCACTATGTTATGAGTTGTTGTCCTAACTCTGACGTTTTGATCCAATGTTTAAAAAAAAAAAAAATTACCCTGCTTCCGTCTCAACAGCTGACAGCTGACTCCTTGAGGACATATTAGTTACCTACAAAACTACTACTTTTTAAAGGATTTTGTATACACACAAACCCAGGTAACAGTGGTTTACCTCCCAACTTTCTTAGATTTTAGGAGACTCTTAATCATTGGTGCTTATTCTGAATTTGAAAGACTTGGGCTCCAAGACTTCCCATGTGCCGTGCAAGAGAGAGGGTCACAGAGGAAGTTATGGCAGGATTCGTGAACACGTGTTTATCTTTTGAGCAGTGGTCTCCGTGGGGGGACTCAGATACATGTCTGCAAATTCAAGGATGGAAGCCAAGGTCGGTTGTGGGACCTTAGGAAGCCACTTGTCCATAACCCCTGTTCTTCACTACCCCACCCAACTCCAGCCATCACACAAACTCGGTCACCTTCAAAGGGCTCCAGAGAATTGTCACCTTCCTCCATTTTCGGTTAGTTTGCTGCATTCAGGAAGGTTTCCCTCCCCCAATCAGCATCGAGAACGGGGCTACTTATTCCCAATGATAAGCCGGTTACCTCCGGCCAGGTACCCTTCTGTAGAGAGACAACCCTCTGCCCTCCCTCCATACCATGTGCCAAAATACCCAGGTGTGGCCTAAGGACTGAGTTTAATGCCTCCTATAGGGATTCAAGGAATGCCAGAGCAGGAGACTAGCGTTTTAGTTAAAGGTTCAAAGTATATAAATATATATATAAATAAATATACATACAAAATAATACCCACGATGAGGATCGACAGAGTGCCAAATATTCAAATCTGTACAGAGTTACCTTCACCAGAACTATTTTATGTAATTCTCTCACTCATGCTTTTGGGGTTCTTTTGATAAATTCTACTTCCCAGCATGCAGTACCCTATCGGATGTATTTCTTGTCGCCGACACGATTTCTTCCTTCTCATTAATGGTTTGTCATTATTTTAAGTCATTTTTAAAAGACTGCTCATTTTGTTTGTGTCTTCTTTCTTCTGTGACTTTTTTCTTTTCACTCTTAGGTGACCATGGAAAAGCATTGTTGTCTAGAACTCTTCGCTGGTAACTTCCCTTTCATTTGATGTCTGTATCACCAATATTCACCTCCTGTAAATAGTTCTGCGATTAAATTTTTTGAGAAAAGTATTTACTTTTCTTGGAGTAAATTTCTTTGTTATTTTAAATTCAGAAAATATAGATCAGAGGATTTTATTCAAAAAAATTACACTCTTCCTCCATTATCTTTTTAATATCCTTGATATATCTATTAAGATGAAATAGACGGCTAGAGGGATGGCTATATGCCAAGTAGGCTTTATGATCGGAGGTCAGATCCCCAGCACCCATGTGAATACCAGGTACTTAAAAGGCAGAGGTGGAGGGTCCCCAGGGCAGGCTAGCTAACAGACTACCAAATCTGTGAGCTCTGGGTTCAAGTGAGAGACCCTGCATTCAATATATAAAGTGGAAACTGATCAAGAAAAGCATTTGTATCAACCTCTGGGTTCCGCATGCATACACACATGCACACATACACCCACACACACATACATACATACACATGCATAAAAAGAACTAGACATTCCTCATTGCTATGCATTTAATGTGTATGTGAAATGGCATGGATTAACATAATCCTGCAGTTAACACTGCAGTGTTTAGTTAATGGTTTTCACACACAGTTAAGTTACAGGGGGAACAAACGGGGGTCACATAACCGCAAAGACCCATACATTCTGGCTGCAGTGAGACAGAGTTGGGAGCTGGTGGCACAGTGCCCAGGCCTTTGTGTAGAAGAACAGAAAGGCTCCACTACCCAAGGACCCAAGTTGCCCAGATATGGTGTAGGTCTCTCCTAATGGACGAAGATGGAGTTCATTTTTCTTGCCAAGCGCTGACTCCATCCCTTCCAGTTGCTTGGGCCCTATGTGGTCCCTCCATCTCTCCCTGTTTCCAGTTGTCAGCTGATCTTAGCAGCCCAATGAGGATTCTGATAGCTGACTCCTACCCTTTCTACCCATTGCTAGTTATCGAAGTCACCAAGCCTAGATCATGACTCTCCAGCCCCCAAGGCACCATGACCCAGCAGCTCTGGAGAAAGACCACACCCATTCCAAAGCCCTCCCAACAGGAAGTGTCCTGGCCTCTTCCAGACTCCACCAAGCTTGATGGTGGTATGACAGATGATTGTCAGAGGGGTGGAGACATCCCTTCCAATGAGATTGATGCAATTGGCTGACAATTTCTAGCAAGAAGAGGATGAAGGGTATGAATTCTGAGACTGTAAGGGAAATGAATCCATCAACAAAACCTTTCTGCTTATTTTACTCAGTTACAATTGTGATTTTTGAAAGTTTGCAGGTAAGAAATTGAGTTGAAGAACTGGTGATGCACACCCATAACCCCCTGCATGTGGGAGGCAGGAGAAGCAGGAATTCAAAAGCATTCTTAGCTATATTGCAAGTTTGAGGCCAGCCTAGGTTACATGAGACCCTGCCTCAAGAAGAGAAAGGGAAGAGAAAAAATCTGAGGATGTACCTAATAAGTTGAGAACACCCATGTACTGTGGATGGTATTTCTTTCAAGAGCTCTGGTATAACCAGAATCCCCTAGGGAAGAGTCTCAAGAAAGGATCATCACATCAGGTTGGCTTTTGGCATGCCCATGAAATATTTTTCTTGTGCTAATTGTGGTGGGGAGGCGACCAGGACTGCTGGGGGCCATACCATTCTCAGTTTGGCTCCTGAACTATGTGAGAGTAGAAGACACAAACTGAGTGCTAGATGTGCGTGCGTTTCTTTATCTCTGCTCTTGACTGTGGGATGTGGTGTGACCAGCTGCTTCAAGCCCTCTTCTCCGTGTGAGCTAGCGTAAACTTTTTCTGTCCTAGTTTTCCTTCTGTTACAGCGACAGGAATGAAATCAGAACAAGAGAGAAGGGTCAACAGAAACCACTTTGTGGGAGGCCATCCCACCCCCACTTTTTCCCAGGGTACTCGAGCAGGAACAGCAGGAAATATTAGAAATTTAGAGGGGAGAGAAACAGACAGAAAACACAGGATAGCCTCCGGAGGGCCTGGATCCTCAATCCATCGAGCCGACTGTCTCTGCCAAAGGGCTTCTAAAGGAATGCCAAGGGGTGTAGCAAAACACCCCTTACAGCCAAGTGCAGACCATCTCAGACACCTGGACCATGCACGTGGTCAAGCCATTCCCTAATGCAGCCCTGCTGTGTAAAGCAAGCTCAGGTCTCACTAGGAAACCTCTGTGGACCCCAATACCCCTTGACCTTTCTGCTCAATTTGTTTGTAGAACTAACCTATTGTAGTGAAAGATAATCTAATCTGTGTGTGTGTATACATATATGTGCGCACACACGCATGCACACACGCGCGCGTGCGCGCACGCGCACACACACACACACACACACACACACACACACACACACACACCTGGATGATATTAAACTCTTGTTCTTCCTGCCTCCACCTCCTGAGTGCTAGGATTACACACATGTAAGCCACCACATGAATGATCTATTGCATAGAAGAAGCAATACAAGAGGCGATGTTTGGAAAATGTCACCTGCGGCAATTTCAAGGTTTTCCGCTCATTTCCGATAGTTGACATTTTTGAATGGGCTACCTTGTGAAGACAAGGACTCTGGGGATTTCTCGCCCCTATTTTTATTAGTCTTTTTTTTTCTTTCCTGCGAGCTCTCTCCTTACTGTCACTTACTACGCTCTGAAGATGGTTACTTGCTTCTTAATTAAGTGGAGAGCACTTCACCGATGTGCTGCAGGAAAGAGGAAAAGATTTTAGAGCGTGCTGGCTTGAGCTCTGCAGCCCAGTGCCATAACATGTTCTTGGCAGTGCTCCTTGCAGCCTTCATTAGGGTTTAAAATCAACTGCATAGATTTTTTTTGCCTAAACAATTAGAGTCCAAGACAGATGAAAACCCATTTCCGAATGATTTCATGACACTGGAAAGGTCTCCCTGAACTTGGAGTGAGAGAAATTCAATCTTCTAGCAACACATTTAGCATGCCTAGGATTAGGTAAAGAGGCCGACCACATTTAAAACTCACAGCCCCCACCCTATAGGTCTCTTAAGCCAGCCTTTGGCTGGCCGGACCTTGTCCTGTTTCCCCGTCTCTGCATACACAGACGTTCTGGTGTGGAGGAGCCCAAAAGTAGGCATGTCACCATACCCAGCCAGCCGCCTCCTCTGGGTCTCTGAAGGTCTGTCCTACTGGTTTAGCCACTGCTCCACCTGCCTCCTTCCTCCTCAACACAGAACCCATCTTGAGTCCCCAAGCCTTTGGGAACTGAGACTGTGCCATGGGGTAGGCACCTGCGCTCCACGCAGCTGCTGTGCCCTCCTCGCTTGCCTGGCTTCCTGATCACAGCCGCCCATGGTTCTTGGCCCTTCCTCACACACACACAAACCAGCAGCTTGCAATGGGCCTCATCCCAGTCACTGCCAGCTTGCTGTGCCTGAGATCTGAGATGTTGCAGTGGTACCTCCTGGAGGTCGTAGATTTGAGCATGTCTCACCTCCTTCTCCTCCCCCTCCTCCCCCTCCTCCCCCTCCTCCTCCTCCTCCTCCTCCTGCACCTACTACCTCCATATCCTAGCTGTGACATGTCGCCGGAGTGTTTTGTCCATCAGTCTCAGGATCCTGCCCTGACTCTGGGAGAATTGTCCTCACTCCTTTGGTCCTTGGGACTCAGCAAGTGCCCTCAATGGCTTCTTCTTATGTCCTCACATTCCACAGTTGGTGAGTTTCTCACTTCCAACCTCTGCATAGTGTCACTCAGCCTGATGACTGCCACGGTGCATCCCACTACGCAGGGAGCTTTTGCTAACTGGCTTGTGATCCACTGTGAACATCATGGACTTCCTGTTTATATCGCTCTCTTATTTCTTCACCTTAATTAAGGTAAGTCTGAAGGTCCTGAAGGCACATGTAGGGTTCCTCAGACATCAACAGAGCCTACCCAGAAAAGGATATATGGCTCCAGTTCCCCTGGGGATCTGATGCTGAGTCAGTGAACATTTTTAAACAACTTTTATGTTATGAGCACTACACTAAAAATACTATAGTTTAAAAACAAATCATGACTCCTGCACGGGCATGTTAACTGTGGTCAGGTAGCTGCTTGGGCCAGATATTTCCAGGTTCTTGGCATTTTATTCAAGTAGGAAATAAAACCCAAACAGATTGAAAAGTACCATAGAAACAATATTCAAAGCAAAGCAATAGAAAAGATCAGCCGTGGACCACAAGAGTGAAAATGCTCAAGGACCCAGATTGTTCATTTTTGAGATAAGGTCTCATGTGGCACAGGTGGCCTAGAAATCACTATGTTGGCTGGCTTTGAAAGATCTTCCAAGGAGCCAGTCATGGTGGTGGATGCCTTTAAATCCCAGCATGTGGGAGGCAGAGGCAGATGGGTCTCTGAGTTCAAGGCCAGCCTGATCTACAGAGTGAGTTCCAGGACATCCAGAGCTATTACACAGAGAAACCCTGTCTTGAAAAACAGGAAGGAAGGAAGGAAGGAAGGAAGGAAGGAAGGAAGGAAGGAAGGAAGGAAGGAAGGAAGGAAAAACTGGTCTTCCTGCCTCAGCTTCCAAATGCTGAGATTACAGGCAAGCACTACCATGATTGCTTCAGATTCCTTTACTAACATCTAGAACTCCATTTCTGGTCCTTTCGTTTTTACACTTAAATAGTGACTCACCATGCAGCCCAGGCTGGTCTTCAGCTTGACAGTCTCCTCCCCAACCATCAGAATGACAGGATTGCAGGCGTGGGCTCCTGCTCCCAGCTTCAAATACACCGTGGGCCTCTTCTCTCTTCACAGAGGAAGGAGGAACCCTAGCCCATGCCTTCAATGACTCTTGTGCGTCCTAAGGACATTAGCCTAGAATTCTGTAAATATCCATTGTTTCCAAAGCTTAGTTGCAATAAGGTATTCAAGCTGTATCAGGGAGGTGAGTTTTAAATTTTGTTTGTGTTGGGTTTTTGTTGTTGTTGCTGTTGTTATACTTTTTCCTTGGAAGTATTAAGTGTATTTTTTGAAAAAGTAATTACATGAGCTGTACCAGACACTCCAGAATTTTCTAGGGGCTTTATATCCATGA